AAGCGAAAAAGAAGACAAGACTGCCTTATTATTTGACATTAAAGTTACTTTTGAAGGCTTTGTGAGAAAAATTGGTCCAGTATTGTTTCTATTGTAGATAAAAGTAGCAAAGGCGGTCCGTTTCATTAACCTCTTGCGGAAGAGCTCGATATTTCCAGGTGAGGTGGATGCAATGGATTTCTTGAAATTGATAGGAGCCTGTGAAAACCATGAATGATTTATTTGCTTGTCTTATAAAACCTGATCATTTGGCTCAGCACTCTCTATCCATTGTGATCTCTACCAATCTCCTCTCATGCCGAAAGCTCTCTGATTTTATCAAATAGCGGTAGAACTAACCGGTTAATTTGAACCCACATTGTCTGAATTAAGACTTGATTTTATCTCAATTTTAAAGTAGAAGCAAAATCTAGCTTCTCGTACAACCCGTTGTCTGGCGTCTGGAGGAGGCAATGGAGTATGTGGCGGCAGGACGTACCACTCACAAGTGGTTGCGCCATCTGGTTTTAGTTTGGTAGTAAATCACCTGAAATTGCTAATGCATTGGATTCAGGATCTTTCTTTCTTCTTAAGGACTAATTAGTTTGTGCCAATAAGAGGCTAAAGAGCTGGGAGACTTAGGTATTAAATGTCGTAAAACATAAAGTCTTGAGTGGTAGAACAGCTCATCCACACTGCCATCACCTCAGAAGGCATGAGGCACGTGATAACAGATGGCAAAAAACTTCAACAGACTATTAATTTGTTGCTATTCACTTCTGCCTTATTTTCGACCAATGTTTCATGTGCTTTAAATTGTTTTTAAACTGACTTTTGATGAAAGAGGTCTTCTGCCTTCTAACAACCGTCTAGCACTTGTCATTTCCCAACGATTCACTCACTACTTACGTTTCCAAACTACAAGGGTACGTATCACATCAAGTCTGAACGACTACGTAACCTCTGTGCGTAGAGCATTCGAGAGGCATTTGTCTACTTGCCGTGGGCCAAGAAACAGCTAAGAATAAAATCCTCCGCAAACCTTGACCACGAGATTTGCAACTCAGGAGAAGGAAGATGGAGAGGGTGTTCCGAACTCACACTCCTCCTTCACATTCTCCTTATAATTTCCTATTAGTTGTCGCCTTTCATTGGCGTTTGACAAGAGGACGCTAAATCAAGCGGAAATTTGAGAAACACAAATAGGCAGGAAACGAAGGCACCTGCGGCTCGGTGGAATTAGCAAGCCTTGGTTCAGTTCAGGAAGAAGTAAATATGTACTAAAAAGGAACCCATAACTGCCATCACCTTCCAGTCATAAGCTGTCTACATATACTCTGCCGCTTGAAAATCACCCAATCTACTTGCAACACGATTTAATGCAACTAATTACCTCTCATAATCTGAAAAATATCTCACGTCACATATTTGTGACACTAATGCCGGGAGTGTTAATAATTAAATTTTTATGGAAAAAATATTGACTGCCTTGACATTTATGTTTTTTGGACACATTCTTGCTGTTGAAAGCAGTTAACTGCGTCAAATAGTCGCCATGCCGACGTTCAAGAGGGATGGGGGCTGGAGGAGTCCAGAGGTACCTTACAAGGGTAACGCACCATTGCACGCGACTTCCGGTGAGTGGACGGAGATTTACACCCTTGAAAAAAGCTCATTCTCTATTGTTTACACTTTTTAAGTCTCTTCTCTGTATTCGTCTTGTGTAAACACTCGTGGGTTACCGGGTACCGCACGGCGGCCAAAGTGCGCTGCTACTGGAACCACGACCGGGCGGGTAGATGTTTACCTTTTTTAAAGGTGGAGGGAGAAGAAGGAGAATCGCTTGCGGCCAAAAATCATGGCAACAGATCTTTCTCTCTGTAGTTTTTGGTGTTGTGATTGGGTAACTTATGGCTGTGACAAGACGCATTTCAATGAAAAGGAGGAACCGGCCCTACTGTAACCATTTTCCTCTGGTGGATACACGATAACGTTTTATTTTCCACACAAGATCTGCCGCGTATTCTGGATATATTTTGCGAGTAAATTGAAGGTCTCTAACCTTTTTGTAACCAAATGTCAACATCTCAAGCAGACTGATAAGTGGCATTAGCAGTATTACAAATTAGTTTGAATTACTCCAGGATTACATATCCTCAAAAACTCTTAAGTAGCTCAAATAAAATTTACACTTAGTCTTGTCCTCTTCACAATCTGAAGGATTTGAAAAGTGTCAGTGTGATTGTAGATCCCTATGCATCTGCACACAGTGAAACCTTAGTTACCTCTGTCGCATTACCAGTTGACACACCCCATGACTACGGAAGATTTAGCATAGATTACCACCAATTTTGAAGTGTAACTAACCCGACTATTCGATACCAACGAGTTCTACTACCACCTCGATGACAACACCTCTCAGTTCTTCTGATTGGCATTCAAAAACCCCTTCTCCTGTATTATTTGTGCCTCAGAAATGACTTACGCTATCAATGGTAGGCAGAGCTTGACACCTCCGATTCATTATCCACTGCGAATTCATTGTGTTGTTCTTGAGCCTGCTTCTCTGTTAGGGCAATTAACCAAAAGCCTTATCACTAAAAAAAGGTTAACAACGGATAGCGCCATAAAAGACACTCAGAAGGAGAAGGAGCTATGCAGTGAGGTAATATTTGCTTCCTTGCATACCCAATTAAACAGACTATTCAGTGTCTGTGTTTTGCCCTTTCGCTTGACAGGATGGGCCTCCGGCCATGCCTGTAACCCTTTAGCCATTCTTCCCTTCCTTTAAAGTGAACCCTTCAATACGCTTCAATCTGCAATGGAAGGAATGAATTCTTTTACTTAAGCAGCATACCCTGTTAAAGTCATTTAAATGAAAATGTATTTTCCCTAGCCGTAATCGGAGCTAGTATGTCCACATCCCCCATCCCTAAGGGCACCCACTTGGCTGATTGCGAGCTGAAAGAAGAAACCTTGCCTCCTCAGGTCATCTCTGTGTGTCATCAAATGGCGCCCCAAGTCGTAAATCGGCCAGGGTGGTCCTTTCCCTATTTCACCCGCCACCAAACAGAGTTCTGTGGAATAAACCCATTCCGTTTTATAACAGCCCGGGCAAGGGTCAGACCACACAGACTCGGGTAGTGGAGGCAGGGCATCCCCAATCGCCAGTCATCCCTCTTTTCCTGGGCTGCTAAGAAATATCTACTGTCTTTACAAGAATCGATAAATCCTCGTTTCATGAAGAAATAAAATATTGTATGGTGTAGAATTTTTTTGTACAGAAAAGCTGGCGAGCTGTTAAGGGAAAAGGTATGACAACAAGGTGAAGAAAAAAGTATGAAAACTAAGGAAGGTAAATAGATACCACGTACACTGCACTGATGGGTCTTAGAAAAGAACGACTATCACAGCCAAGACTTTTATTGTCCTCACCTAACACCGATTATTATTAATTTTAAACAATTCACTTATTGCAGGGTCTTCTCAGATTGAAAGCATCTTACATATACTGTACTGTACTTAATATAGACTGCGAAAGATGTCAATGGATGACGTTTGATCCATCCCCAGAGACCACTCCATGTGTTTTGAGACTTAAGGTGAAGTTCAAACCATGAAAGCACACCTTTAGGAATGGAACTTACACATTACCAGACCTTATTCCCTTACCTGGTGGGAAACGCGGAACGCTTCCATAACACGTTGACTTCCAGAGACTCTGACAAAGGTCGACGACTACAGCTTAGACTCTTTTATTGTTCTCATGTGAATTCGTTTCCTATACCAATTCCTTTTGGTTTAACTTCATCGCCACAGAGGTGTGACTAGTGGACTCGAGTAAGAATGTGACTGCCTTTCGTATAACTGACGGGTTGAGAAGGGTGAGAACTTTGAGCTATGGCTTCACCGTCTACCGCCATTTCGATAGTTGGTACCAAGTGATCCAATAATCTGAATCATTAAGTAGAACCACTTGTATCGGGTGGTTATACGCTTTTCCGTTCATGTGTGAATAAATTTTGTGTGAGATGAAACCACGAAAGACACAAACAGTATTGAGACTCTTGAATATGCGGATGAGTGGATTCTATGAGGGGGCTCCTGTGAAAATCATTCAACTAATTTCTCTCTGATCTCATAACACCGTTCTCATGAACAAGCCGAGAAGTACCTTTTTTTCATCTATGACGTGAATTTAAGACTATAAGTTCAGGCCCTGCTTACCACAGGATTAACACACAGAGACAGCAGCTATTAAATGGTACTTTTTTTCGTCTTCTGTTGAAGGCTGCCACGATAGTCACACTCAAATCAAATCAAGTGAATTCCCTTTCCTCCAAAGTTTGTACAAATAATGACCCAAGTGCTGATTTTCATTTAGTTAACAATTAAATCCTTTTTATTTATTGACGACATTCTTCCACCTCCGGATCCACAGATGCTAGCATTTTGACGCGAGTGCCCAAGACTGCAAGTAACAGGCCGTCGGTGATGGTGTATGTAGCACTCACCCTGCGTTTTGACCAAAATCACGCAGAGAGCAGTGTGTAGGGTTTAACCGACTACCTCTTTGGTGGTGACCTGGTTTTCATCTCATCCTGCTCTCATGAGGTCGCCGCACCTTTCACCACTTGCACCGCAACAACAACCACCACCACCGTCATGTAACCATGTTATGTATTTGCTCAGGGGTTAGTACGGCGACATACTGGTGCCAGCAGTATGCTCGCGCTGCTCAATGAGTAGGTTAGGATGTGAAAAAAAGTAAAATGAGTTGCTTCTCTGAGAAGAAGCGAAGGTGATACTCACCACCTCCAATGACTAACGAATCGTACTTGTAATTCGTCTTTAATCGAGACTTCTTCTCCGAGTGGCCTTCTATTCTGTCTGCCAATGCGGCGCGGAAAATTTGTGGTGAATCATTCCTCCATAATTACAAACCCTAATTCCTGAATTTTTTAAGAACACTTCTGGTGAGAACGCATTTACCAGAAAATAAACGCGCCCATTTAGTAGGAAATAAATTGTTGTTTCTACTGCTGATATGTTGACGTTGCTAGTGTTAATGTGATGTCACGCCACGTTGACAAAACACTGATGGTTGTAGTGATTAGCTCCTTTCACCTTGTCAAGTAGAGGCTGATGATTTCTCAATAACAGGATCATTTCTGTATGTCACTCTTCTCCACGAACTTAATATCTAACTTGACAGATGAGGTGGTATTTCACTAGAGTTTCGTTTGTAGCCCTGGGAATTTCCTTTTAAAAATTAACAATATTAGGTTTCTCCGACTGTGTGAACCATCCTGCGTGGGGTTTTAAAGTCTTGTAAAAACATTTACCAACACAGCTCCTTATTGACTGATGGACTGTTTTGAAATTTTATTTGATATTTTGATATTTTATCTTCCGAATGGTATTGTAATACCTTGATCGTGTGTGTAACTCCTTCGTTTGGTTACGTGGACAATTAAGAGCATGGCCATTATAGTTTCAGCTAGCGTAATGATCTCTAGACAATTTTGGTAACCCCTCAGCCCTTCTCTACCTCAATAGCACATATTCTTCCTTTAGAAATATGCTCCTTTTTGGCTTCAGGGAAACCTCGAGTGCTACATTAATGGCAACGGTAAGCAAACTTGAGCATAAAGGACAACTACCCAGGTTACTATTGCTGAATAGTAAACCTTAACGTGATGGGAGGAAGGCATTAGCTGCGGATGAGAAAATCTTGGAGAACTCCTAACAGAAGGGTTGAAACGGCGTCTTCCTTCGGCAGTTACCACAGTCCCGTATTCTGCAGAACTGCTGTTAACAACTGAGGGGAGCAATACTAGCCGTGACCGTGAACCAGTTGGAAACAATTGTTACAGAGCTGTTTACAATAATCTTATGAGAATACCAATTAAGTGAAAACAAGACATTACCTCCATTCCAACTAACTAGACCGAATTCAGGTAAATGGCCAGATTTGGATGGACAGAACTGAAGTGCTAACTATGTGGGAAGGAGGAACAGACGCAAAACCTCCTCTCCACGAAACTATTTTAGATGTTGTCCATTATTAAATGACTTTACTCTTGGGGAGGCATTCTTAGGACTAGCGATGGACTTACGTGTTGGCTCGTACAACACGGTTCCAAATGGGACAAAAGTACAGATCAAGTGACGCTACAGTTAGATAGTATCTCCTCATTTGCATGGATCTTCAATGACTAGCGCATTTTGTTTGTAGGCGTTTTGTTAATAAAGCACCGATTACATCGCGTTGGCCGACGAGGGATGTTGACTAAGTGGAGCGCCGGAGACGGCGCTCAAGAGGGTAGGGAACTATGTACTACTTCAATTGTTTGTTTAATCTTCATTTTAGTTTCGTGGGCACTCAAAGCTCAGCTGTTTCGTTTTCGCTGTGCAGCATGGCCTCAGAACCATGCCAGTAACCCCTTACACCCAGCCCTTCTGTATGTCAGCAGTACATATTCTTCCCAAGCATTATATCTTCTTTTGTCTTCAAAGTAGGCTCGGAGTGCTACAGTGTCACCCTGTATGCATAAAAATTTTTAATCACCCTTTATCACTTTATTGTTGCTAAAATTCTAGATAGACAGTTAAACCTGTAGGATCAGCTACTGATATCTTAATATTTCACCACACATAAATGAAGGCCAAATGTTCCGACGGTTTTCCCATACTAAGAATAAAGCAATGGTAGAATGCTTCTTTAGGTATCCACTTTATTCAGCATTTGACGATCAACTCCTTTCCCAACTCGACATTGTGAGTTTGCGTATTCTACCTTCACTCAACCTTTTGGCTCCAGACACTAAGAAAAGTTTACTTGTTGATACCCCCATTTCTACCATACCTGTATTCGAACTATCTCCTTTGGTGGATGAGGCAGTCTCTCTCCCATCCCATTTCATTGCTCCCTCTTCTATGGCTAGGTTTTGCGGCAGAGTTGTTGTGTGATCTTCAGGAAGCAACCAAATCTGCAAAGTATCAGGCCTGAAACAGGGAAACAGTCTTCTAGGATAGAATTAGTCCATAGCCTGGAAGGGAGGGGTTAATCTCAGACTGATCGTTTGGGCATAAACATCACTATGTCCCTTAGCTTAATGGATGCTAAGGCAGAAAAAATACTTTGCGTTACATGGTTGTCAGCTCTCGAATAATCCGGAAACGGTGAGATATTTGCAGCATTTATGTAAAAAGTGAAGAACAACAAATTGCCAGTCTTTGATGCTTACTTTCTCTCACCTATTTGTCTATGGCGTGCTGGTGGGACCCATTACTTTCCACCGTCCTCCTCACCCAGTTAATGGCGTGCTTTACTGAAATCCACGTGGTCCATTTCTAGTCTACCGAAACGATGGTAACAGTGGGAAGGTCCTCTGCTCATTTCATAGGCGATGCCCCCTACCATCGTACCTCACTCATGATTTATGGAAGAAAAATTATCCTTTCTAAAAGGAAAAGTATACCTTATTAATTTACGCCTTATCTCAAGAACTGGGAATATGGCATTTGCTGTTGCAAATGGTGTGGAAGAATGCAAGAGAATTTGCAAATATTTCGGCGGAAAATCAAAGCTACCTTAGAGACCAAGCACGGAATTCCTATGACTAATTTTTTGCGGAATGAGATACCTTTCCTTTTTATTTTAACTAGTTGCTAAGGTTTGGTAACTAAAGTATTTGGTTAAGTGAATTATAGGTGATGGCAATTTTTCGCTCCACTAAATAACATTTTTAGGGAGAAAAATGGGACTGATATTTTGCTCCTTTTATTTGTGTGTACCATTTACGGTGTTAAAGTCATTGTGATCTCAGAGCACTCACAACCGGCGTTAGCCTATTATCTACTCGGGTCTTTTGTGCCAAGCGGTTTTAACTTATAACTTATCGAAGTAATGAGGTCCTTTTTGAGACATTTCATTTAGGAAAAGTTGTTATAACCAGATGTGGCAACTCTAATCCACTCTTGGAAGAAAAATATTAGATAAATTTTAGCTAATAAGCGTGTGATACTTAACTCTAATTAAAATGCCCATAATTTGAGCTCGTCCTGCCAACACATTTGCTGCTAGGGGCAGCTAGGGAGACAAACAACCTCTACAATCTAGACTTTTATTGTCCTGTCCTTAAGTTTTGATCAATTCACTTGTGCATCAACAACGAAATATTGCTGGCCTTCTTCGACTGACAGCATCCTGCATTCACTCTACTTTCTCGAAATCAAGATATTTGTGTACGACATGATTTGGTTTGGTGAAAGCATTTGCCGTGACTTGAAGAAGATAACAAAAGATGACATGTGCTCTACTCATTGAGCTGCCGACATGCTTAAAGATCATTTCATGTGTTTTTGAGAAATGGTGTAAATTTCAGACTATGAAGTCACACTCTTAAGAATAGAGCTTGCATATTGCCAGGCCTGATTCTCTAAGGTGGTGGAAATTGGAAAACGTTTCCAAAACACGCTGACTACCAGAGACTCAGAGGAGGGTTGATTATCACATTGCAAATGTTTAAATTGTACTAAAACGGCCCCAACTGTTTCCATTTGGTTTGGTATCCCAAGCTAGACCCTTTGTAACCAAATGCGTCACATATGTGTGACGTCCGATGTTAAATGAAATGGAATTTTCACACGAATGCTGCGTTAGCTGAAAAGGTATTTATAAATGATCGCAAGTTATACGATTTCCTGGCATAAAATCTTCCAATTCCATTTACTTTATGATTAGTACCACAGTTGTAGCGCAACTCTTCGCGACTTTCACTCATGTAAACTTCCGAATCTGCCTTGAAGTGCATTTTGATTAACCACTACCAACAAGTTGTTACACGCTTGAGTGAATTTTCTACCTTGCCGCCAACAAATGCACAGTATTCATAAAACTTCTGGCGCTTTTCTAACACAGGAAATTGAGAAGATTCGCTCTCTCTCTTCGTTTACCACGCTTGAGTGGTACGCGCATAATCCTTCCACTTTTCATCCATAAAAACTACATCGAAATTAACTACAATTCTCTCTTTGTCCACATACAAGTGGGTTTCATGCATTCCATTGAGAGCTATGCCTTATTGATCTCCAGCGGAAGCAACACTAAAAAAAAAAGGTTTTATTTTCCACATTAGTTTAGTAATTGGAATTAAACTGGAGTTTTGAGCACTGTCGGTTGCAGTGGTGAGAAAGTCCACCAACGCACACAATAATAGAAGTGGCGAAGTTAATTTACTACTACCTGCTAGAAATAAAAAGGGGAGGGACAGGCAGGAGAATGAAATTGGGGATACTACCGTGAGAAGAGGTCTGCTGATACGGAAGAAAACCACAAATTCACTACTAGCTTGAGGCGTGTGACCGTGGTTGGCGCACCTGAATGCGGTTTATATGCATGGGTGTGTGTGAAGTAGGGAGGGGCTAAAACGGTCCTAATGCCCCCTTCCCCTTTCTACACATCATTTCCTCCCCACCCCCTCCCACCTCGTGTCACACCTTGACGGGTGTGGGAGTAGAAACTCCTTTCTAGAGGCAATGGAATTGGCCAAACGCGCTCCTCATGCAATGGGTGGATTTGAATGGTGTGTGTGTGTGTTAGCTTTCACACATAAATTGCTGCTTGCAAGGGGATACGATGGTAATGTGGAATTACTCCTGATGCAAATGCACCAAATGTTCATTCTGCAAGGCGGATACACCATTACCGTTGAAATGGTAATATATAACTGACCATTCAGAAAACACTGCTAAATTTGCCCACGGGGCGATAAAACCTCTAGCATTAAATGTTACAGTGCGTGACGAATGTTACGTTTGTATTCTTTTTCCACCTATCTGATAAGCGTGTGCTGCTAAAGAAGGCAATATTTATCTTAATTTTTCCCATATAATTTCAAAATTTTGTTCATTTCTTATATGATGTATGTAAATAGATAAATTTACTAATTATTTTGTCTTTATGTTAACTCAATCGATTTACGATTTACGTTGTCACTTCGTTGATGACTGGTACGACCATTCCGTTCCCTCGATTCGAATGGCGTCATAAATGATAGATAAGCTTGATCCCCTTATGTACTCTAGAAAACATGTGAAAAATTTTTCAGTGTGTACGTATTGGGATGTGAAGGAAAAAAAGTTCTAAAGTCAACTCGATTGCTAAAGTTAACGTATTTCAGGCATTTCTGCTACTTTAGATTATGGTTCTGATGTCAAGTCCTACAATGGTATCTTTATTGAAAATAAAATTTAGAATATTAGACTTAAAACCATTATATCTTTAGGTGAAAGTATTTGTATTACAGTTTAGGTGATGGCTAGAAGGTAATTGAGTTGCTGTGGCGAGAAGCGGAGGAAAGTAGACCCTCTATTCTACCTCACTTTGGAGACTGTTCACCCATTTAAGCAAGCTAATAAAAATTGTGCTATTTGTATTTTTATTCAGCTGAAAACAGTAAATGTGAATTTTGCCTAAATTTGTCTGTTTGATTGGTGTTCAACTTTCCAACTAGGCCTGTAAATACCGACCCGATGCATGCACAGACATCTATTATCATTTGACATGGGAAAGGATTGATACCTCTAATTGTTTGCCCCTAGTGACAGATTTTATAGTGGATAAAGCTGGAAACAGCCTATGATCTAGTTATAACAGTTGCTCGTTGTTACTGGATGAGAAAGAATGGGCCTTCCTTTCTGCCACTCTGACAGCACAGCTGTTAAGAGACCTCGAATACTCCGATTGACAGGCACAGTGTTTGTCTCTGATGGCATCTCGGCCGAATTTCATCTCGGCCTCGATGTTCTCCCATCATTCAAACAACTCGTCATTTTTGCCGACACAAACGGGCTTTTAGTCAAAAATGACTGATTGGAATGCCCCCATTGGCCGTCTTTTCAGTCTCACTACTTCCTATTCTTAGCCCCCGAGAAAGGGGTAGTACCTTTATTTCGTAGATTATTGAGCTTAGATGAGTGTTTTTCCACCTTACACTATTTCTGACATTTCTAGGCGCTCAATTCCTCCTTACACACGTAATAAGCTATATCAAGTTGAAGGAAGTTTTTATTTGGTGACTCGAGGCATAAGCAAAATGCCTCTACACGAAGAAGGAAATGAATCGTCTAAGACGGAGGCGCTAACAGTTCTATTGCAGTTCAATGCTTGGAAGAAGTAAAATGTTAGCACAGCATTCAGTGAAGATGACTAGCTTAGTTCGGGTGATCGCACTCTTCCTTTGCTCCAGGTGTTGGTATCAACACTCTATCGACAGGGACTTGTGGACAAGATGCAGTTTAAAGGAGGAAAAAACCACATCATTTTATTTCCTATTGATATTCAACTGCAGGCTTTATTTTAGAAGTATATTTACAATTCTCTGCAGGTCCAGAAGCAATGATTAGAAGCTAACGGAGTTGGCTGTGAGGGGCTTAAGTCCTAGCCGCAAACAGGAATGTTCTCTTGGCTTTTTCCTGTACGATGGAACTATGGAACACATGCCAAAACCGAATTTATTAAATCCTTGATCAGTCTCACACTTGTTTAATGATAATTCGTCTCTATATACTAGTTTTGATAAGACTTCAAGGTATGTGATTAAAAAGTGGCAACTATTAAGAACTAATTGTAAGAATATGTGTTCAAGCTGAACGGAGACTTTGGATCATAAAACCATTTAAAAATTATTAAGGAGTGGAAACCGCAGCTATTTATACTCATAAAGAACCTCGCCAATAGCGCCTATTTAGCCTCTCCTTCCGTGCTGGTTCAGGGCTATAAAGTGTCTTGGTACCCAGCATAGGATAACTTCTTGAATTAGCGAACACAGCGTTCGTTATAGTTAATGTTCCCATAGAGAGATATTTTTTGTGCACCATCCTTCCACAAGAGAAATTGCATCCACTGAACATTTATCTAAGCTAGGATAAGGCGTTCCGCCAGTTGGTTTTATTGCCTTAGAACGGACTGATGTGTTGTGTGCTACAGGCTGACTGCTGACTGGGAAAGGAGTGACCTTGGTAGAAATCCCCACTGCCAGAAACACAGACATATATGAGACCGCCTTTCATTCATTTACTTTCAGACCATTAAACTGTGCAATTGTGGTCCAGGGTCCCCGTGTCTGGGAGTTCACTCTCCCTATCCTATTTATTTGTGCTATACTCTGTGGTACTATTCCATACTATGCTCTGCAGTGCTGTGCTTTAAGTTTTCTGTAAATATGAGCAGATAATGCCCACTGTTTCGTCGTTGACGCTATTGTTCACCTAAAAGGTGGTTTAACAGCCCTCATCAGACATTGCATCCGCACACTCATGTTCGCTGTTGTCTGCCATTTGGATGAGCGGTTCGTGGAGCGGAGTGCCCCACAATACGTCGTCCGTGCAGAACTAAACATCTCGATTTAACTTAAGTGTCATTTTTATAATTCTCTACCATTCGATCATAAGCGATGCCTTTGCTGATAGAACGAGTATTAAACTCACAATTTTTAAATCATGCGGCGCCTTATTTGGCATACATTTGTTGGCGCTATAAAACTGAAGTAGTTGGTTTCAAAAGACTCTCCTGGGATATTTCAGTTGTACTTACTGATCCTTCCAGTGCGAATACTTTTAGGGTAATGGTTAAATCGCGTTGCGGTCAAGACAGGAAAAGGGGCACAAAATCTGCAGAGCAAATGCAAATACTTCTGTCACAGTCTACTCGCAATTTAATTGCTAGCCGCTTAATGCCGCCGCAAAAAACCCCACCTATCCTCCTAACTATAAATTGGGCGCTGCTACTGCTGCTCGATGGGACAGGACAAGTTTAATTAGACCACACCTGGGGATATGAATTATTGTACCTCTTTGAGCACGGTTACTATGGTGATGTCCATCCGGCTTGTCCCAACGTCAACTCAACCACCTCCCTCTCCTCCCCTCTCCATGCATTTCTCTCGGCTTCTAAAAGGTGTTGTCACCTCTGATTAGTCTTCATGCGGAGATCTCCACCTCTCCTTCCCTCGTGCCTGAGGGGAAGGAATAAAATTTGGATGGCCGTCAAACACCACCACTGCTGTATCCTTTGCGCTGAATGCGACTGTTCCAATTACCCGGCTGGAGGGCGTTACCTCAGTTGTCGTCGCCTTTCCACCAACATAATGCTCGTATCCTGTGTTATAGGCTACATAGAGACACACGTGAAATGTACGTGTAAGAGAGCCATACCGACAGGCGGAAAAGTACACAGCAAAGATTAGGGAGCTGGATAACTATATACACACTATAGTGGATAATACCTGTAGGGCGATTGAGTTATTGTTACGCAACCCTAATTGTAGCATGAAGATTGCATCTTCCTTTAATGGCAAGAAACTACTTTCATAAATTGTTCAAGGGAGCTTGAAGACGGCCGAATCGCGAATACGCTGAAAAAAACGAGTTTTCCGATTCTAAAGTTATTCCATGCAAGGTGAGAAGTTTGGGCCCTAAATGCATTCACGAGGCACTTGACCTATAGCCAGCACAAGACAGACGTTTACACCAACGACGTTAATACACCCGAGGCGTCTCAACTAGCATGTAGAGGCCCGTCCATCACAACCTTATTAAGTATTAGGGGGATACAAAGTTGTCTTGAACGGGATGGAGGACCCTAACTAGGAAGTGCTAAGGCGGTTACACAGTTCAAGTCAATTTTTAGGTAATAAGACTACTCGCCTCTCTCCTTCCATTTATCCACATTCGAACACGTGGCGTTCAATAAGGAATCAAACCCCTAAAGATTCCCAAATTTTGGATAAGGCATGTCTATGTCTTGGACTTCTCAATACCCCTCTTCCCCCTTCCTTTCTTTTTCCCCTCCCTGCACCATTTCGCCTGAAAAAAAGCAGTCTCCTTCAATTATGTCTATGTATCTATCTAAGGTTCCCGAAGCCACCAGTTTCGGTACTTAGAGTGCAATTAAGGAAAAAAAGTTGTTGATTCCTTCAATTTTGTAATAAAATGTCATTGTCAATATCACTCAATAGAATAACTTGGTTGTAGTAGTTGAACTTCTTCGGTGACCCTGTGAGGAATGAAGTAAAGAAATTGACCAAGGCATTCATCATAATTAACGTAAACGATAGACTTGACACTAATTTAGCGGCGGCAATAATATCACCTCATAAATAAACTAAAAATGGATAAAATCAACTTAAGACTATGTGATAGGGGAAACCGTTAATGTGACCTCAGATTATTAAAGTTGATCCCCATCAGAGCAGCCAATAAGATGATAGGAAGTGAATTCGAAGAAGCACAACTTTTTCTCACCCAGATTTGCAAATTCGACTAGAAATGGAAGATATTAAACATCCGGATTTAGGGCGCATATCTCTCCACATACAAACACACATTTAATTAACGCTTCTTAGGCGTAGCCCAGAAGCTGCAATATCAAAATTGCCCTCTAATTTGCGAATGTGTGCATAGTGCAAAACTACAAAGGCCCACCACCTGGGAGAGCAGCCTACCAGCCAGCCCCTTCAGCCAGACAGACGGGCAATCGCTCTTTCTCTTGTCCACAAATCTCTACCCATGGCAAAGCGGACCCGACCAAATCAAAGCTCCTTGCATAAAAACCACCATGAGACACCTAAAATTAATAGGTTTATAGCATCTTCACCACCACCATTACCATTGTGTCCCTGAATGAATACCAGGCTTCCAGGTGGAAATGTGAGAGGAAATATTTATATTATCCTAACTCATTTCAAGGTATGTGTGGACCAAACGACAGATCAAAAGGCCACCCGAGTGTCTTCATATACCCCGTGCCTCGAGGAGGGAACAAAATCCACATCATTTGTGTTGAAAGCCCATATGCATTGTACGCATCCACATGTGTGCGCCTATGTTTGCATAGCCATAAGAGATTGACACTCCCCACCCCCTCTAGGCATTGCCCCATGTAAACTGCGTTGGTGGTCGAGGATCTCTTCTGTGTTTGTGTGTAGATGTGTGGGGGGCTGATGAGCAAACAACGCAGTACCTTTCTGCGCACAAGCTCTCGCCTGCGCTCGATCTGCAAAATGGGCTAGGTTAAAAAGTGATCCAAGCATCTAAACTAGAAGTGCAGCCAGTGCACGATTCTCACCATCCCTTGGAAGCACAGCTGTTCAAGCCTGCATTGCTATCACCGAGAGAGAAGGATTTCACAAACCACTGTAGCGTTTGTCTCGCTACTGTCCTCCTAACCGATATTGTCCCATCTCGGTCATTTGCAACTTTCCTCTACCTCTGTGTGTGTGGGTTGGTGGGTGAGTGTGTGCCCGAGACCCATGATGTACCCATGCGAGATAAGGCGGCAGCAGAGGAGAAAGGAGAAATATCGCCATTTCAGAGTGTGGGTAAATTTACATGGCTTTCCACATGTGTTTGCCACATGGTCGAGGCTTTTGGGTGGTCTTTGTAGCCCGGGCAACTGTCTCCATCTTCTGTTTTGTGTTATCAGAAGAAGACAAATGTAAAGGGTAGGGTAATCCATCTGATATGTCCTGAGCTACACCAAACCACACAGAGGAACACATGAGAGGTTGAAGTTTCTTCCATAGAACCACCGTGGCTGAAGCCCACCCACAACTAGTGATAGGGAGATCCACTTCATAGCCCCAAATTTCCATGACCTTATGTCCTGCCCAAAGGAATAATCCATTCGGGAAAAAAAGAGTTAAGGTGTCGCAAAACGCACTTAAACTGACCGCATTAATGATAAGTGACCCTTGATGGGTGGCCAAATGTCCTTTCTGGTAAAGCTGTGGAAATTATGGGGAATTTTGTAATACCGTTTTAGGGGTCGCTATTAATTTTCACTCTATAATTCAACTTAGGATCGCGAATAATACCACCTCCTTTATAAGCCGAAGTAAAAAATGAAGAATTTTTAGTGTACGGCGGATTTCTAGTCATCAGGAGCTCAAAATGCTTTCTGCATAAAATGGTCGTCAATTGACAATTGCTTAAAGATTTTAAACTGGCCATATGGGTCACTCAAGCACAGAAAAGTGAGGACGCTCGAAAAGCCTCCTAAATTCGTCTAACACTCTCGACAATTCTTAATTCAATAGTCCTTCTGACAATCTGAGCGTCGTTTTGCTGGCTCAACAAGATCTTGTGGTATTGAGTCTTCATGGCACTGAAGGCCAGCTGACAGCTGCAACTGGCAATTGCGAAGCTCTCTTCCAACAGGCCTCGCGCTTGGCACAAACTACCACCACTTTGGTGGAAGGACTTCTAAGTGCACACGGCATCCTCATGCAAATCTGTGACGTCAGGTTATCACTGACCTCCGTGATTCACTGAGTGCAACGCCCAGACTACATGCTATTTGTATGCATTTTCCGTTCACATTCTGAATGCAGACCCTTAAAGAAGAAAAAATGGGGGGAAATGCTGTAGCGCAAGTACGAAAATTTCTTTGACAATGCCAAACTGTCATAAAAACTAGTCCTCAGTCGAACTGGAGTTAGAGGCACCTTTTGATTGTACTCCAGAGAAAAAAAATAATGTTACAATTTGCAGCACTTTATTTGCAAACCGACAGATTCACTAGGGAACAGAGAATGTAGGTTCAAATCTCTTCTTTTGACCGTCCGAAGCAATTAGGGAGGAAAAGAAGAGAAACACATCCACATAAATGACCCATAAGACTGCCAGCCTATGTGAAAGGTGACAAGATTAGGAGAGGAAAGCAAAGGACTCATCCTGCGTTGTCAGAGCGTCAATCATCCCTCGGAGAACAGTTGTTGCCATGACGATGTCCCAGCAATTTGTTTTGTGATCACCAATACTAACATCAGCAGTATCAATGGTGTGACATGATTCGATGTTCATGTGATGGCTGGTGACAGCTGCTGATTTTCCAGTGCCTCTTTGTGCATTGACAGCATGACTACGGGTATAAATTATTCCACTTTCCCACAGATTTAGCCGATTTCCATGACTAGAATTGTGGAAACCAAGCTATTCTTGTCCAAGCATGAAACTACGCAGAATTAGTCCCTAAATATTCATGTCAAAAATACCGAATCTATGCGAAATGACTTCACTACTTGACACCTAAGCTATGATGAGATGTTCCACTAGTTGGCTGCATGTCCGCAGAATTGACTGGTGTGCTGTGTGCTGCAGGCTGAAGCCTGCAGACCGTGGCTTGTAGATGGTGGACTGTAGACGACGGACTGCGGAATGCGAATTGTGGACTGGAAACAGAACAACCTCGGCAGCAATCTTCACTGACAGGCATTTACTTTTAAGCCATTCAAAAGTCTCAATGTGGTCCAGTGTCCCCTTGTCTGGGAGTCAATCACCCTATCCCATTTTATCCTATCGCCTCGTATCGTACTATACTATACAACACTATACCATACTGCATTGTAGTGCTGTGCTTAACTGTGCTGGGAGTCTTCTGTGGTAATGAGTAAATGATATCCACGGGTTTGTCGTTGACGTCACTGTTCACATGAAAGGTGGTACATCACCTCTTACTGGATGTTGCATCTACAATCTCACGATGTGTGGAGCGGTTAGACCCACAGTGATATACATGTCGACAGTTAGTGGTAGTGGAGACGGACTTGCCATTAAGCACTGCGAAGAGCACTACCACGTTAGCCTGGCTTTCAAAATTTCAATGGCTATTGTAGCTACGGACTTAGCGGCTTGAGCATTTCTGTTCTAACTCTTTGGTTTTTGGACTTCTGAATATAATGAAGTTGTGATAACTCGTCTCTTTGCGTATGTGCGTGGAATCCGATTACCAGATGGTGAGAGGGACCCACTGGGATGTGGTATGTGAAGTAGGAGCATATGTCAAAGTTCTGACTTTTGACGATGTTCACTAACCCAGTTGAAAAACACCTGCTATCGTACTATCCCTAACATCTTGGGCGGAAACCAGGCAAAGAAGAGGGTTTTCATTACTTTCAAACGCTTGTTCGCCACTTGCCAGATAGAGTAAAGCCCAACAAGGTATCGATGCTAGAGGTACCTATGACAATGAATAGGAGATTGGAACTCATGGGTTACTCCGTGATCCACTGAGCTAGTTTCTGTTTTAATTCATGTAAAGATTGCATAATCAGACTCGATGGAGTGGTAAGTCGAAAAGCATTAGTGACATAGTGCCTTGATTGAATACGGTGCGGTCTTTGTAGACCTGCTTCGCAATTTACTTGACCATTCGCCTCTTTGGGGGTCGTTTTGAAAATACATCATCCAAACTCATATGGCCCACACTGGGAGGTGCACTTGTGTGAGCTTCGAGCCTTACGAATGACGGGTGATAAACGTTTTATCCCCCACTAACACGCGCACCACAAAGCAAACAGAATCCAACACTTTGCCACCGCTTCCTCATCCCTCCCATTGTTCCCCTCTCCCCTCCTCTTTAGACGAATTCTAGTCGGATAGCACACCACCTGCCACATACACACAGGCGACACAAGGGTCCAAAGGGCTTTGCCCTGTGTGTGTGCGTGTGTGTGAATGGATCAAGCCATATGTCCCCGTATTTTGTGGTTTTGTGGGTGTGTGTGTGATATTATTAGCATTACCGACCAGCTGAGACTATTTGTTAGATCTTATTGGTCTACCAGAGTTCATGAATGCAAGCATGCCTACATTTCTAGCAGGTAGAGCTCTTTGGAAAGTTGGAAGGGGGTATGTAGTAAAAGGACCTGGCTATCGCCACATGGTGAGCGAATGGAAAACAAAGGATGGCTATCGTACAGTTATACTCCATCGTCAAGCTTCTTTGGACCAGCTTCTTCACCGAAAAAGTTACAGTTGATGGGTGACAATTACAATTGTGTAATTTTTAGCTTTTTTGAACGAAGAATTTCCAATTAAAATAGGTAATGGCATTTAAAAAATGGTCGACATTAGAAGTCTACTTAGACTAGGCATAAGGCGAATTGAATTAGTGACCCTCCTCACAGAAAACCTACAAAAATCTAGTTCTGTCATTACCACCAAAGCAATTAAACAACTGTAGGGGAAGCAATGCTCCCCACCTATTTACTGAGTAGCAGCAGGTACTATCTCAAAAAGGATCGCAGGCATTTCTGGGCGACATAAAAGTCTCCTCACACCTTTTTGCGACAACGTACATCCTATCGCCTGGTGTAATCTCGCCTCGGTACCTACTGACCAACTGGAGGTTGGGCGTGGACCAGCGAACGAGAGCGTAAGTTAGCTCCCAAGAGTGAATGAATGATAACATCAGTGCGTGAACTACCCACTTCTCCAAGTGAGGTGAGAAGCGGTCATTAGGGAAGGAAGCGGAGACGAAAGAAGGGGAGTTGCGGTGCTGCCTCGTCCATACACTATATCCCCACCCCATTACTGTAAGTGATGTCTCCTGTAAGGCGATTATCATAACCTCCGTCTTAATTGCATCTAGCGTACAACCCGAGGAAGTAGGAAGAGAAGTGGTGAAAAGGGGGCATCTCTGCTCACGCTCGGTCACCTTGTCGTTACATGCGTCGAAGTGACAAATAAATTGACTTTAAACTATTCTGTCGCTAGGATTAAAAGTTTCCGAAATCGGTTCACCAAGCCTAGGTAGTGATCCTGGGTACCGATACTTTCTTATCAAACCACCAGTTTTTAGGTGGCATTGAAAAATGCTCATTGCGATTAAAAAGGCTCGTTCTCGTCTTCTCCTTCCACAAATGAATGAAAAATGTCCAGTTTACTCATAGAGGTAGTCCCATAAACTTAGTTAATTATCTAGACAAAACGCAGGCTTAGGCGGTTAAAAGTGTGGGACGCCCACCTCGACGTGTATCGCTCCCCATTCACATCAAAGAAACTGGCTCTGGAGGCACTAAAAAGGCAGGTGGTGAGAAAGTAGAGATGGCAGTTGGAAAATAAGCCAGTGATAGGATGCGTTCCTCATCTCCTAGTCCAGGTGTGGAACAGTCTAGTTGGTAGACGGATTAGGCTAGACGGTGATAGTTGCTTGACAAACAGAGGTAGCACGGATACATCCATAATCGGTATCAGAATGACCAGCGGTGAAATGCGTGAGAAGAAGCAAAGAAACCGAGGCGGTGACAATGTCAAAAAGTGACCGCAAAACTGGAGACATGTCACGTCATCGGCGTGGTGCAACGGGCCACCACCACCTTAGGGCATCATTACCGCCTCCATGCCGGACATAAAAATCAAAATTCCGCTTGATCTCTCTCCATTTTCTCTTTCTTTTAAAAATTCTGTTCTCACGTGTCGGAACCAAAATTTACTTGTGAATTTTAAATGCTGATTAGAAGCTCAAGATTTGGCTCCATCGATAGATGCACACTTAGGTGACGAATGTGCTTATGCACTTTGGGGATACCTTCGAATTTGCTCTGTGCAGACTGCTTAGGGTACCACTTTGATCTGTCAATTTTTAATCAAGCAAAAAATTCACGACCACTTTAAAGCACGGATTCCTTGCAGTCACCATGATAGCTCTAGGCGTCCATTCGTGACCATAAGGGGATGGCTTCGACCCCACCATCACCTGTTAGTGAACCCGCCAAGGTGACAACTGATGATGATAAATGGAACTGCTAGTAAGATAATTTTTAATTACTTCTACTTTAGTTGCATCTATAATATATTTTTCCCTTTCAAAACAGCAAATTCAAGCCAAGTCAGACTTAGTGAGCCATAGAACAAGATTAGAAGGCCCTGGATGCCAGCCAACAATGATGCGGTGTGATTTGACGGTTATCTTCTGGCCCATCAACGGCGCCGGTTCGTCTGCCCTAGTAGTCCTGTCTGTTCCTACTTCGTGTCACTAACGCATGGTGCAGAGAGAGGAGCGCAAATTTTCTCGCTTCACGCGCGACGCAGTGGGACTGACACACGTACACATACACACACACACTAAAACAGAGACGCGCGTATCTCACATGCCTGTTCGTCTCTCGCCCAAGAGAACACATATACTTGTGTGCGTATGTGTGGACGTGAATGGCCCTCCACCGCCGCCTCCACCCTCAACCACAGCCCCCCATGCGTTCACCACCCTTTCGGCCTAGCCGCCTCCCCCCCTCCACCTTCCCCTCCGCCCTCGACCTCACTCTCAGCTTGGCGCTACACACGTGCACGCATGCAGGCAGGCGTGCGCGCTCACGCAGCCACAATACACCGAGGCTCGCGCCTTTCAGCCAGCACGTTCTCTTATTGGCGTCAAGATCGCTGAGTTGCGCCTACTGCCAGCAGGCAGTGGCTACCAGTAGCCAATGGCTGAGCGCCCGCGTATCAGCCGTGCGGTCGTGTGCCCTCGGGAGGTTGAAATACCTTGTGCCTGGCTGTGCTGCCGCTAGTTTACCTCTGTTAACACCGTTTGTGTTGCCACTACTTCTGCTGCCGCTGTTGCTGGTGTCGCAGACAATACACCTCTCCTCCGCACAACTTCTAGTGGAACTCCCATTCCCCAGTCCTGGTAAGTCATTCTTGTGTTTTGATAGGCTCCCACCGAGATTCCATTTATAGCTAATTATTGAGATCAGATTGGTGACTTGCATATTACCTATTGACCAATGTAAAGAAAGATGACCTACCCTCTTTGGCATTTAAAGACACGTAGTAATTACGAAATCATCATAATGAATTAAAGTACTGCTCTATGGTGAATGACAGTAAACATCATTTCTAAAGCATTTATGCCCCTTGGTCCCACTGCATATTTATTCTCTAAAGAATCAAAGCAAATTTGTTCATATCATTTCTAAATCAGCAGATATCATGTGTTTTAATGACATGCACGCACATCTCGGGAGTTTTTCTTTTGAGGTAATTCCGCGGCGTCCACTTTTATTTCTGCTTTAAAGTCTGGATACAATTACTGGTATAAAGTTTTACCTTCGGTAAAGGCTGCTCGTAAGGAAAGGGTTTTGTCTTGACAATGGGATATCTAAAATGTGCCTTTGGAACAGCAGCTTGGAATTTTGCCTATTTCTCTACAAGGGAATTGCTTACTCTTCCCATACTATAATTTTGTTGTTCGTCTTTTTGCAATTCAAGCCCCTAAGTAATATAAGACTTAGTAATTGATATAATTCTCTAAATAAGCGATTGTGTTCAAAAATCATTTTTATTTTTTCACACGGTCCCAGGGAATTAAGTCAGTAAAAAAATTCTAAGCCTAGTATGCTCAGAAATTACGTCGTCAGAATTATTTCTAACTCTTTCAGGGGTCGTTTTAATGAAGCCCATAAATGCTATCGAAAATGGCTGGAAAGACCACCCCCATTTTTGTTCCGCACTAGGATTACTTTCATCCTCTGTTACCTTTCTGTGCTATTAACCGAAGAGTAAGGAGGAGGGAGGAGCTGGGCGGAAGGACAGGAGGCAATAAGGCGAGGAAACGTAAATCACACCGATGCAAAAGGTGTCTCACTAACTAGAGAGGCTCCACAAAGCCAACAAGCAAGTGGGACACCAATTCCATGACACTTTTGTCTCACTTTAAGCGCTAATTACTCCTGCCCTTTCTCAAACTAGGCGACAACAATTTTTTAGCCTTACTTCACCTCACCGCCTCCACTTAGCCATGCGTGACCCCTTCTCTCACCCCTCTGGTCACATGCCCTTTGGGAGGAGAGTTAGGGTGTGGGGAGGAGGAGGAGATTGGATAATTACAGGAGAAGTCTGCTTTTTAGTACCTTTCTCACCAAAAATGGTTACTTGTTTGCCCACTTCTGCTCACAAAGCTACTCGAGGGCAGTTTTAGCGCCCATTTGCAATTTTTTCCACAATCACAGATTTCCTCGTAGCGGAAATCAATTAGAAAGGCAGACTCCAAAAGGTCCCTTTGATAGCAATGCTGCTATTCCTGAGGACATACATTTGTTGCTACTATTTCAAGGCCAGGAGGAAAATTCTCAAATGTTCTGATAAACTCAGATTTGCTAAAACGTGATCCAAAATGTTTCCCATCCCCTCCAGGAGGCACTAGGATCACGAACTAATCATTTTGAGGGCCAGTAGGAGCATCGAAAATCCTACAAGTTCTATTCTGTGCACGTTTTGAGCCTGTGGATTCTTTCTTACCGCAACGGATTCATTATTGAATTTTTAAAAGATAGTGGGGTGGTACGTTTTAGTCTCTAAGTTCAGATAACAGCACTAAAAATCGTATTTACTGCTTTTCAAAGAATTGTTATTAATTTTACACATTGTTCTCACGTTATCTTATTTCGAACGGGGTCCCCAATTAGAGCCTATCAAAATTTTAGAGAGATGTGGTAACGATAAGGAATGTTAATTTCCCTTATGACAGTGGACGGAAATCTGCACTTGGATTAGTGGAAATGGCTGTGTCGGTGCAATATCAAAGATACAAGGCGAACTGTCTATTTATCACTGGTTTGTCTACCGCAGTTCAAGTGCCCCTGGTCCGGAGATTGAACCAAGCTAAAGGCTCATACATCCATCACATGTGCAAATCTGCAAGCGTGTGGGAGGGCAGGCAGGCACAAAATCGCCTTAGTAAACAAAGTGGCCACAAATCGTTTAGTCGGCGCGTACTACCGGTGGTGTGGCGGTGCATCGGGCCCCTGTCAGCGCCATCAGCACGTCTCAACATATGAGGCGTTAGCGGCGTGTACTGCCTCTGATGTACAAAATCACGCACCTGCGCATCTGTCGCCAA